GTAAGGTACTCTGAATAGCAAATGGAAAACAATCACATTATTTGGAACATTTATTTAAAACCAGCGCCTCATTTTGCAAAAAAAGTTCCCTTGAAAGATACACATTTTAGGTACAGTATCCACTCATCGCAATGGCATAACGATTATTTCATACAGGCTACAAACAACTCAGACGATAAACGGCTACAAAGGAAGGCCTTGTATAATACTCAATATCGAAAAAATGAGTACTGTTAGGCACTAACTAACAATCGCGTCATAAAAGCATAGCAGAAACAGGTATGTTGTAATACATCATAAATATGAGTTATCAGCTTGAATAAGACACACCGTGGTATTGGTGTAAAGATAAAAAGGTGTTAAATACAATATTAAAAAATATTTACTCGAAGAATTCACTTCTGCTGCACCGAGCCTGAAAATAATACAGTAATCAAGAATAGTCGATCGCAGCCGAAAGCACAGGCACTTACAGCGTCGCTTGCGCGATTAAACCACTATCCTTGTTGATGTCTTCGAGTTTCGGCATCTGAAAATTTAAATTAATATCTACAACAAACAAACTGAAAATGCAATAACAAAAATCACAGCCGACTTCGAGAAATGCAAATCGATGAAATTCTGATTACAAACCAGACTTAGGTATCCACGTCTCGGAAGGGGACGTTGACCAAGGTAAAAATAGACATGTCAGAAAACAGCAGAGTGTACTGTACTTCCACTTAGCCAAGACTTTGCTTGAGAATTAAGCGGTAAGCTGACAGACAGACCAGCGCTTTTCCGGGAAGAAAAACCACTAAAGTTTTGAGGCAAGCCTGCTTCAGAAGCGAAAATTGTGACTGCAAACGCTAAAGTAAGATCAGGAAAGCATTTAAGAAATACTTTTATCGTGTTATATGTCGTCTAAAAGGAAAATGATCATCGAAGACTCATGGGTTGCAACTAACAGCCGTAAAGATTACATTCATGCCAAAATCCTTGCAACGGCAGAGCAAATTTCATTCATCTGTACTGCGTTCTGGAACATGATAACATACTGTAGCCGAAACTATTCCTTAAGAATGCAGAAGAAGAGCTAGATTTACGGAAATCATATGCGTGTGCGTATAGCAAGTTTAAGGCGTACTTTTTCATCGACGCCTGTGCAGTTAAGCATTTTAAATTAACCACCAAGCTACCTGCACGTGCAGCACGAGTGCACATCACTTATAATAACTGCACTCCAATTAACCAAACGTTCACTGTGAAAGACTTGACGGTATAAAAAAAAACATCAGAGCACAAAATATACTAGGTGGATATCAACGGCAACCGAGAAGACCTATCGTAAACCCTGAAACGGTTGCCTGAAGAGTCAACAGTAATTCAGGGTCAAGGACTGAAAGACCTAAATTAACTTTTTCGGTAAGTTCGTCAATAAGACGGATAATTCCGTAAATAAGACGGATATTCTGACTACAACAATGGAAGAATGAGTCAGGGGCCGTGGTGAATATTAATCAGCGTGAAGAACGTACGCTTTCTGTTCTCTCAAATGAAAATGATCGATAAGGGTAAAAAGAAAGAAAACAGCCATAACACACTGATCAGTTATTTTAAAAAATGAACAGAAAATAACGTGCTTTTATTCAATTCAATAATTTCGACAGTCAGGACCTAATATGCTAGTCCAGTGATGGAATGACTGAAAATCACACCCGAAGACAGCCAGGTGCTGATCGCTAATCCACACGTCGTCATACAGTGAGGAATATTCATATCATGAATTTCGATCCTCGCGGCAGTCCGTCGTTAAACAGGTCCTGAGTTCGAGCGCTGAACATCCTTACGAAGTTGATAAATGAATATCAATATTTGGGAAAAAAGAGATGATTACACACTATGTTTGAAACGCAGATGACGTCGACCCCACGTTTTAAATAAGGCACTCGCGCTTGATGGCATGCAAATGGAGATGAGCGCCTTGCCATTAACTACCTGAAAAAAGGCGCCAGGAACGATTCATTATGAAAATATAGGGAAGATCGACATCCCAGACGTTACAAAATTTGCTTTTCACTTCCTTGTTTAATAGTTCTGAGCGACTGACAATCGTTCTATAGGCGATTTGAAAGCAGTAAACTGGAAAGCACACTGAATGATTTCATTTTAAAACTTTTAACAGCAGGGCTTCTATTCATT